TCCTTTAAGCGAAGCAATATAATTTTCGACAAATGCAAGTCAAGTCAGGTTGAAAAATCACGTGAGGCACCTGCACTGGTTCAGAGATCCGGTGAGAAAATTGAAACGAAAACAAATGTGAAATTCAGAATCTTGAAAATTAACAATTTAAAAAAAAAAAATTCCCCAAGACAAGAATTATCACGGCCATTACAGGAGGCCGACGGGAAATGAAAAGATATGCATGTGTTATTCTTTCCTTCTTATTATACTTGCACTCTCTGAGCATCAGACTGGGTTACAATTTAGAGGGCAAGTATGTCTCCTTCATCTAAACAATTTTGAAGATATTACAATGGGGGTGGAATTAGAGGGTTTATCTAAGAAATGATCAAGTCTATGTTTCAGATGCGTGTATAAGCGGATACATCCATGTAGTGCTAGCAATTTACTCTAAAAAAAATATGAAGAGGATTGCATACATCTAGATACAAATGAAAGTTGACAAGGGAGATCAGTTTAAAAAAATGGGGAGGAAGAAGAACAACAAGCCACGATTGCAAATTAATATTATCTACAGTACAAGTTGTGAACGCCAAGTTCAAATTAGCGAGACTGAATCTCCAATGATGCGAGGTCCAGATACTAGGGGCAGCATTGTTTACAAAAACTCAAACACGGGTCACCGTTGCCTTCGAAGGGTCACTGTTGCCTTCGAAGGGGAAATAATTTTGTAGGCTAAACCCTAAAGATAGAGCATGATATAACAACAAAAAAAGATCTTTGCCTCGACCATACTCAATAGTAATTTTCAAAGGTGGCTCGGTCTGTGAGGTATGCATAGGAGAAGAAATGCCTTAGAGCAAGGGCAGCAAGCTCCCAAGCCCGCTCTCAGTGCCTACGTGGCGGTGGGAGCCTGCTGCACCCCCTCCAGCAACCTCCTAACCGCTCCCAAGCCCCTCTCCTTAGGCTGACGTGGCTCTTGAGAGCTTCAGAGCTCCCAAGCGCTCCACAAATTTGTGGAGGGCCGCTTTGGAAGCTCGCAACGAGGAAAATTTTTTACAATCCCCCCCCCAAAAAAAAGCCCCCTACCAAATCAGGCTAGCGTAGGGGCTGATATGATGATTTTGGCGGCGAAGAGGCCTCCGACGGTGGTGCTCGGCGACGATGTCGAAGTAGTCGGAGATGGTGGCGTTCGGTCGGCGCGACTTGGACTTGAGGGATCGCGCGAGGTAGGAGATGGCCATGCCGGGGAGGATGCCCCGCTGCTGCGCCGTCGCCACCGTCGAGGAAGAGATGGAGAACTTCTGCATAGCGGAATTGATGCGTGACGGAACCACCAATCGGCGGCGGCAGAGGTTGCAGGGAGAGGTTGGGGTTGGGGCGCAGAAGCTTGTGCGGTCGTCCGTATGCCGAAGAGGAGGTTGTGGTCGTCGTAGCCGAAGGGTTTGGGGTTTGGGGTTGGAGGTTGCGGGAGAGGGTTTGGGGTTGGGGTTTTAATTGGGTGTGTTGCTTTGTTTGATGGAGCTGATACAAAGCATAAAATAATAGATATAATAATGAAAAAAATAGTTGAGATTTAGCCATTGAGTTGAAATGAGCCGTTAAAAAATAAGACGTTGAGTTGAAAATTTTAGCCGTTGAGATTTAAAAAACTGGCATGAATAGTAAAAAAAATTATCTATAAATTCTCAATTCACTACACAAAGATTTCCACACAACTCTCTCATAAAAAAAACTTTATATTTTCCTATCAAATTACAAATCTCATGGATCCCTCCCAAAAAATTTTATTCACAACTCCTTATCGGTGAAGGATCGACCTTATACCCACCGTTCTATACAGAAATCGTAGAAGAAGGTCACCCCATTGAGTTCTCGCAATCGGTAACACAACAAGTGTCATCCCAAGAAACATCGACCACAAAGAAGAAGAAGGCTTACACGCGGTCCGAAAATTAGACTGTCCACAAGGATAAGCTTCTTATGTCTGCTTGGCTGAACACGAGCCAAGATGCCATCCAAGGTACGGGACAACACAAAGATAAGTTTTGGCACCGAGCTAACGACTACTTTATCCTATACCCCACCGATCCAACGAGCCGCACACCAAACCAAATGATGCATCGTTGGTCAACGATTCAATTGTCCGTCAATGATGCATCGTTGGTCAACGATTCAATTGTCCGTCAACAAGTTTTGTGGGTGCGTTGCTCAGATTGAAGGAAGACAAAGATCTGGTACGATTCAATTGTCCGTCAACAAGTTTTGTGGGTGCGTTGCTCAGATTGAAGGAAGACAAAGATCTGGTACGTGAATTATTGACCATGTAAATATTTAATTATGTTTGATTATGTTTGCTTAAATTCAATATGTTTAATTATGTTTGATTATTTTAAATTTAACTCTTGTGTAGACTGCAGAAGTAAAAGAATTATATCAATCTCTTTATGGTAAGCCATTTGTGTTTGACCATTGCTGGGTTGAGTTGCGTCATCATCAAAAGTGGATCCAACAAATGAAAACTTACAATAAGATTCGATCACAGCCGAGAAGAACCACAAACTCTAATTCCTCACCAAACAATTCAATGTTAGCGACCCCTATCGAGTTGAACACTAACTCAGATGATGTTATAGCAAGGCTTGAAGGGAAGAAAGCGGTAAAGCTTTGTTGGGTCCTTTTGTTTTGATGATGATTTACAAACAATTTATATCTAATATTGTTTGTCTAGTGCTTGTATTTTGTATCTATTCTAGGCATACAATAAGTTAGAGGATGGATGGAATCAAGCATTCACAATCATATCCAATGGAGGTTGGCGGAATAATGGAGTGAAGCAATGTAATTCAAGTTGAAGATCCAAGTTTAAACTTCATCCGCAAGTTAACCAAGAAGAGCTTGTTGAAGATCAAGATCATTGCTTGGGTGAATAGTTTAGGTTTTATATTATATGTGTTAAGTACTCTAAGATCAATATATATATATGTTTTAGTTTTATAGTTTTCAAGTTTATACAAAATTGATTTTGTGAAAATATTGTTTTATTAGTTTATAGACTTAACAATCATAATATACATCTTTTATTAAGTCTATAATATCAATTTATAGAGTTTCAAAATATGGTTTATGTCCAATGTCAAGTGTTTTTCATTTACATGTTTTGGACTATTTTATAAAATGAAGAGATTTCTCATTTGGGAACTGTTTTTTCAAACCAGTTTTTGTAACATGTGTATTATCATGTTTACAATTATTTTCCAAAGTTTTATATTTTTTTGAATTTATTTGTTATTTTTAAAGGCACTTTTAAAATCAGATTTTCAGCATGAACAGTGCATGTGCATGTTTATAAGTCGACTTATAAACTCTGACAAGTCGACTTATGAACTGCTCTGGAATGTGCAAAATCTTTCTGTCAAGTCGACTTATGCAAACTGTTAAGTCGACTTATGACCTGAGTTTTGAGTGTTAATTTTCTTCTGCAAGTCGACTTATGTGAACTTTCAAGTCGACTTATTATAAGTCGAATACAAGTCGACTTACACTAAGTCGAATGCAAGTCAACTTATAAATATGACCGTTGCACAGTAACTGAGTTTTTGTGTGGGTTTTTGGTCATTTCCTTGGGGTTTTGGCTGATGTCTTGGGTTATTATAAATACCCCATTACATTTGCCTCTCCTACCAACTAAGAGAATGTTTTAAGAAAATTTAACAAGGGTTCAAAGTTTTATTTAAGTTTGTTTAAAAAGCTTTTAAGCATTTTTCAAGTTTCGGTTTGTGAAGAGAATTTCACAAGAGCAAGTGGAGATCATCCTTTGGTGTTTGAGCATTCACTCTTCTCCCTCTCTCTTGTCATCATTAGAGAAGTTTTCCTAAACTCTATTTCTAGCTATTTATTGTTTTGTTCATAATTTCCATAAGCTAGATTTAAATTGAGTTTAGTTTGATTTTGTTTTATTGAATCTCATTGTTACATACACCCACTTAAGCTTATTGTATTTCATACATAGTATAATTGGGGTTATGAGAGTTTGTAACATTGAGTTGTGCCTAATTGAGTTCTCACCTTGTATTAGAGAACAAATCTTTTGTTGAGAGCTTCATTGTGAGTTGCACATTGTATTACACTTGGACACCGAGATAAGTGGTTGGTGAGAGACGGGGTTGTCCTAAGAGGAGTGTCGTCGGTAGTAAAGCCTAGAGGTATGTCATAATTCCGAGCACTTGAGGGAAACACGGGCTAGAGACCAACACTTAGAGGGTGTGAAGTGTATTTGCAATTGTGTGAAGTATATTTGTGCGGTAAATTGTGAGGTTCATTTTATATTACACTAGTACACCAAGAGGAGTGTGTGGTGAGAGAAGGGGTCGTTCCAAGAGGAGTGGGGTAGGTGGTAATGCCTAGAGAGAGGTTGTAATTCCTAACACTTGAGGGAGACACGGACTAGAGACCAACAACTGAGGTGGTAGTTAGTGTGTTTACATTGTGAGTAATTGTAAAGTTTTCAGTGAGCTAGAAAACCGAGTGTGAGGTGTAAATATTTTCGGGTGATCGTTGAAAACCCGGTGTGATAGTGAATTTCTCCCCGGGAGGGGAGCGGAGACGTAGGACGGAAGGTCCGAACTCCGTGATCATATCTTGTGTTTGCATTGTTTATTTGCGCACTATCACTCTTGTTTATTTATTGTTTATTTTACCCTTGTATTAACTTGTATATCCTTGCACATATATTGTTCATATTTCATTTGCTAGGATATATTTGTTAATTAGTTTTAATTTGGTATAAATTGGATTAGATTAGCATAAACCCTATTCACCCCCTCTAGGGTTTCTTCATAGCGACCTTAGGGTACTTTCAAGCTCAAGAGGAAACAAAATGTGGAAAACTCTGAGTCCGCTAAGTCCATCATGGGAGAGGCTTTCGCGTGGATGAAGCAAACCACCAATCAAAAAATGAAGCTAAAACAGAAGAAACAAGATGACGATATCATAAAGATGGATCT